AATAATAATAATAATAATAATAATAATAATAAATAAAAGCCGGGGGCCAACATCAAACAAAAACCCTGTTGGGTCCAGGAAAGTCAAAGGATGGACTGAAGTATTTTCATTTGAGACACAAAGTGGACACTTCAACTATTTGATCCCATGGCATAAGATTAAATCTAAATTTTTTATTCAACAAAATGGAATTGTATGAAACAAATTACTTGATTTACACGTAATTTTTGGTTTGTGAAATACAAAATGTCATGTCAACCAATTAACTAACCTTGAATGTCACACCACACTGTAGAGACTCGATCCTCACTCTTAATTTCTATCATACCTTGAGAACTGATCAAATCATTTTAAGAGTGAAGTCCAACTAACAGTGTAACTGCAGCCAGCAAATGTCCTGAGACTAAGCTGTTATGGTTATGTTTAGAATGGATTATTTCTAATTTATCATATTGTAAATTAGATCAGAAGCTATCAGAAGAACCAAGGTCAGATAAAAGGCAGCTCACACTTTGTCCTTGTGTTAAAACTCCATTGTTAATAATGATTCGTCTCATTATGGAGTCAACAGTAAATTAATAATGACACAAGTGTACATTTATTATTAAAGATATAGGATATTAAAATTACCAACTGTGTTTCTGCTGCCTGGTAGCTGAGGAGAAAGACTCTATCCATCATAACTTTTCTTCTAACCCAGTTTTCTTTGAGTAACTAAGTGTCACGCTGCCTTTATAAGTCTTTCATGTAGAACGCTTGCTGTGTACAGATATGCCCGTGCACATTTGCTCACAGCTTCGCAGGCAAGCCTCCTCATTTCTCTCTGAAACGTAATTTTAGGAACTCAGCCATCCCTCAAGACCGAATGCTGTGAGATCAATATCAGCGTAACAGGCAGCAAGATAAAGAAGAGAGAAGATGGGGTGGCATGAAATAGAGGAAAAATGGAGTCTTGTCACTGCTAGATCGTTGTGTTGTTGATCTCGCAGGTTACTGAAGATGAAAAAGTCTCTACTGTGAAGGAACTTGTGTCTGAACGACTGAACATACCTGCAAACCAGCAGCGGTTGCTCTACAAAGGAAAAGCACTCGCAGGTAGTTTTGCCAGAAAATCAAATTCATGTATTTCCTACAAAGCTTCCTTTTTTTTCTTGTCGCAAACAGTTACAGTTCTCTTAAAGGAAAATTGCATTTGTGTCCTTCAGATGAACACAGACTGAGCGATTACTCCATCGGACCGGAGGCTAAATTGAATCTGGTTATCCGTCCTGTGGGGGAGAGGAGTGCAGGCCCTGGGGTGGCTGGCAGCAGCACTCAGGGCGGAGTGTGGCAGACTGTGTCCATTATACTGGCCAGACACTTCAGTCCAGCAGATGCAGCAAAAGTCCATGAACAGCTTATAAAGGTATTAAATTGTACCACCATTCTATTTAAACACAATAATCTGTAAATAAATAAATAAAAAGTTAAATATTTTCCTCTTTATCCAGACAACAATATAGATGTGACTATTTAGTTGTTTAAAAGCTAAATGGTTTTTCTCCTGTAGTTTTGTAAACTTCATAATTTTCATACCAAAGCAAAATCTAGTAATTTCAAGGATTCAAGGAGCTTTATTGACATTTCAAATGAATACAGAAAGAATAAAAAGAATGTGGTCCCAGTTGTTAGCAATAAGCCCGCCCCCCCAAAAAAAGTTTTTTTTAATAAATAAATAATTACATAAATAAATAAATATAAAACAGTAAAAACACTATTTAAAAAAATCAATCAATTTAATCAAACATATTTATATTGCACGTTTAAGAGAAACTGGCTTTGCTTAGCCAACATGTTGCACAAACAGTAAATTATAAGAATAGTTCAGAAAAAAAAAAACGTGAAAATCATGACAACACAAAATTGTTCATCGGAACAAAACACATCAATTTTCATAGCAGTGTTAAAGTTTAATAATATGACTTAAAAACTCCAAGAACTAAGGCCTGTCTGATATGAAGGAGCACCTGGTTCCCCAGTTCAGGAGCTACATCCAAAAAGGCCCGATCACCTCAGTGGACCAACCTGGACTAAAGGACAATTAAAGACCTAAGGGTTCTCGGGGAGAAATAAGGCTGCAGGAGGTCAGACGTATACAGAAGCCTGTCTATTCAGGGACTTATAGATTATCAATAAAACATTAAAATCATTTTTTACATAAAATCTGTAAAAATGATCATAGAATAAATTGCAGCCACACACACCCAATAAACCAATAAAACAAACTTAGAAGCAGCATGGATTAGACCAGAATGTGCTAATGATTTATGATAGAGAATTCATAAGCCTGATTGAAAGAAGCTGTTTTTCAGTCTGGTTGATTTAGCCTTAATGCTTCAGTCTCCTGCATGAAGACAGGAGGAGGCAAACAGTTCATGAGCAGGATGGGTGGAGTCCTTCATGATGCCAGCAGCCCTGCTTCTGCACCTCTTGATGTAAACGCTGCTGACTGCTTAGAGGCTGCCTCCTGGGATCTTCTGAGAAGCCTTGACCACTCGCCGCAAGGCTTTTTTTAATTTATCTGCAGCAGAGCAGTTTTCCTTCCACATGGTGACACATGAAGGGATGATGCTCCCCACAGGGCACCTGTAGGAGCTTGTGAAGGCTGTGAGCCCAGGCTTCAAGTAGATTTTAGATCAAGCTTGCGTAACCTGTATATTTTTTTCTCAATAAAACATGATTCAGCTGGTCTAGAAGGACAGAGGGATTTGGTTCTCCCTGGATAGCTGTGTTAAGTCACTTTGTCGTCCCACAATGCTTCCTTTCACAAACCGTATGCTTCTTTGTCTCCTCCCTTCCTGCTGAGCAAGAAGGAACTGCAGAGTCTGACAGGAAGTTTTAGTTCCTCTTTTGCAAAATCCACATCATGAACGTGTGCTGACATGAATGCTTACTTTATTGTTTATAGTATAAACACAAGGAAATACCGCACTGTTAATTCAGTCCTGTGACACTTATCTGTTTTGGCCATTCATTAAATGATGGTTAAAATAAATAATGAAATTAGAACAGGGTAATAATACATTTTAAACCAGAAAGAGATTTATTACTTAAGCACATAATTTAACTGACCATGGGATGAACATGCGATCTGTTCATGGT